ATAACTTTGTTGGGATTTAATAAATATAATACGTGCTCCTGTAGATTTCTAACTCTTCCATATGTTTACTTAGCTAAATAAAAGTATTTAAATGTCATTGGAGATTACTCATCTTTAATGATTAATAACTTGAACTTTCATTTATTCCCTTCATTCTTACCTTTAATAAAATCCTACATATCAGTAAATTGAGGTAATTTAAGTCTCTTTCACTACCTTGAATGCCTTTAATGCAATTTCAGTGGATTTTAGCCAACTCAACAATAATTAACACTTTTTTTTGAAGAAGACTAAAAAGGGGTTTTATTAAAGGATCATAGAGAAGCTTTAGTACTTAAGTTCAACTATGCACCCTTTTGATTCTTTTTCTTTAAAAATTTGTTGTGCTAACCTCAAGTCTCCTCAGACATTTTTCACATTTTTTTTCTTCTATTTCTTTCCTATTGTTTTTCTTTTCTTTTGAGAATTACTATATCTGGTTTGTAATTTTTTTCCTTTTTTATTTTAATTAAGGTGAAGGGAAGTGTTTCTTAAGTAGTAAATCTCAACACTTAATAGTGTAATGGCACTTATTTTAGGCTATCTTTTCTGTTAAAACATAAGATAATGTCAATTTGATTAAAATGAACTAAAAAAGATTGAAACATTCTTGGATTGCTACTTAACACTTAAATCACACCTTTTTAATAATTTGTGGGTTCTTTTAAGTAAATTCTGAAGTTGGTAAATTCTAAATCTTATTATTACTCATTAAAAAAAATCAAACTTTCTAATAGAAGTTGTCAAATTAAATTTTAATTCTCTACTTAGTTATGTGAATTATCATTTAGGTTCATAACAAGGTACATTTTTTCCCTAAATTTGCTTCTTTTCATCAAATATATAGCAAAGTAGCAGTAGAAATAAAAGACTGGTAAGTGTATGAAGGGAGAAAATTCATAGTTCCCATAATCCTAAAAAATTACAAATTAGAACTCAGCAGGCAACAATATCAAAAGTAAGTAAGCAAACACAGTACATAAGAATCTCAATATAAGGGTTACCACTTCGCAAAGAAACAAGATTCAAAACTACTTCAAATGAATATCTAAAGCAAATATCAAAGAAAATTTCAAAACAAATACAGAAAGTAAAAAAGCATGCCCCCCAAAATAACACTTGGTTTAACATCCCCAATCAGACAAATCGGTCTTCCTCCAGAATAAAAATTCTAATTTAGTAATCCTCGATCAACCGCACAATATTTTGTAGGTCTTGGAGTTCTTACTAAGTCCTTAAAATTGAATTTTTCTTGTAAATTTTCCGTCGCAGTATGTGGGGGGTTTATTTAGATGATCATTCTTATGAGTATTTTCTAAATCTGAAGTTCTCTCAATTTATTCCTCTATTTGCAGATAAGTGTTTTCCTCACAATTTGTAATAAACGAATCCTTATAAGATAATTCAAGATTTTTTTAAAAAAAAATTTAGGTTCTACCTAAATTTTTTAGGATCTGGATCTAATTTTATTGGGTCACTCTTCTACCAAGGGTCGTCTTCCAACTCCTCCCTTCAGAGCACTCCTATGGGTGATACTAAAGGCTCAAATATCTTCCTCACACTGCAAGGGTGTTTCTTGAAAATAGCAAATTCATCCTCAATCATGCTCCAACAAAAATTTTCCAACACAGCTTACTCTTCGAGCTAAATTCTTTGATTCTGAAACTTGGCTATCAACTACCCTTGACATCCCTTCAAATTCATTTTTTAAAAGGCTAGCTATTAGCTAACTGCCAGATGTGATTTTCTATCTTTTAAGGGAATTAACTTAGCTTTGTAAATCCTTCCTCAGGTTTTTCAGTAATGCTTCCAAATACTCATTTACTTCAAGGCAGTCATTTTCCTGGTTATTCCTACTTCCTACATAATCGATTTAGAGGCTCTCCCATTGTTGGTTGTCTACACTATGATTATTATTATTCCAATTGAAGCTTGGGTAGGTCGACTAACTTTGGGTGTATGTGTTGGATTCATTCATTAAATTAACTAATAATTCCTTCAATGACAGGTTATCCTCCCTAAATTGAGGTTTCAAAGTGACTTCCCAGGGTTGAGTTTGGCAATTGTGGACCCTGTCCCAGTTGTTCCAATTTTCTACAAGGTTAGCTTGAGTTCTCCCCCAAACTTGGTTTTCTACACTAATGTCATTATTGTTCCAATTAAAGTTTGGGTAAGTAATGCAGTTGTGGTTATAGGTATTAGAAGAGGGGTGATCAAACTAAGCTCCTGTGTTGGGTAAAGATTGTGAAGGTTAGCCATCAATGAGTATTGTGAAGGTTCCCCAGTCTTTCATCTCTTAAAAGTTTAGCCTAATGAAATAGAATAGATTGCTGGAAGCAAAGAAAGAAAAAGTGGGAAAATATATTAAGCGTTTCTTCAAGAAAGATGAGACTCATGCCTCTATGATTCGGGGATCACGATGATCATGAATTTCATATATATTTTCCTACGTGATTATTGTCAATTGGGGATATGTTACTCCTTATGCCTATGTCTAAGTTAAAAAAAATCTGGAACCCATGATGTTAAGGCTTCCTCAATCCTCATGTCATCCTATGTGATTATTCTGATCTCAGAATGATTGCAAAATTCCACTGGAGTATGTCTATTCTCTCATAATTTTGTGGTTAACCCCTAATTTTCACTATGGGATGGTTAGAAGTCGTAGTTTCACGAAACATTTTAGCATCCTAGTTGACAAAAGTAAGAGTAAATTAAAATTGGAGTTTAGCTAACAACATAGTTCGTGAAAGCATGAGAAAGGTTAGAGAAAAAAACATCTTAGAAGACAACGAAGAAAACCACTATCCCTACATCACAGAGATAAAAATAAAACTGGCCACACATTATAGAGAAAACCATAGACACAAAATCCATGCAAATCTTCATCGTAAGAAATAAATAGAGTACAAAACTTACAATAAAACTTGCTTTGCGACAAGAGTATCACATTTCCCTCTCATACAATAGATCTCTCAATAGCACACATGAACCTCAAATGAAGCAACTCCTCTTGAGGTTTCAATCCAAAGGAAGAGACAATCCTAAGAGGAACGCTTTCTCTGATCAAAACCCTACCTTTCTTATAGCCTTTAGTCACCCATGATACCTAAGATGGACCTTATGAGTTCATTTACAGGCAAAGCTCGGTAAAGGCAAGAAAATTCTTGCCAAATGTGATTCCTGCGAACTGCTGAGTGTATGCCGTGAAGATGGAGCGAGTGTGCTTGAGGTTGAACAGATGAGTGGGCAAGACCACATGGATACCCACGCGAGTGCTTTACACTAGGCGCGTGGGCACTGAACATGGGATGCCTAAGTTAAAGTGAGCACATTGTATTGGCGATGCAAGTGCGCTGGTCTGAATTCCTTATATTGTGCTAATTTTTCTTCTATTTTGGTCCAAAATCTCTGTTCACCTGATCCCCTGCATACTTAAGACAAAATACATTTCTCAAGCATAATATTAGTCAAAATGATGTAAAATATTGAGAAATGTACTACCTAAATATCACATATTTCACTCTTATCACCTATTTCCTGAGACTAAAGGGAATACCCTAGCATGATGTAACCCATGGTTATTGACAAATGTATTCTAAACCACTTTGAAATAATGAAACTCTCTACATGTTAGTATCATGGCACTCAAGGAGGATTTCTGGTTATGAGGTTGGTTATAGTCGAGGGATATCAACGTACCCAGAACAACAAAAAGTCATGGGCATCCTAATCGGAGTTGTTATTTCCAAAATTTAGGTTAGTCCACCCATTAGAATTCCTTATAGAGTTTAGGATTCCTTATAAATCTTTCTTACCTAACTCTATCATATAATTTAGGAGCTTCAACAACTTCAGCCAGTCAAATTAAATGTTTCTGAGTTATCCCGTTTGAACTTATCAGTCTTATTGGAACTCATTACCAACCTTTTCAAACTCATTATCAATCATCACCCTTTAGTAAACCTTTTTTTCTAGACAGTTAAATCCCTTTGTCTGGGTCTTTTCAAAACTGAATCATACTATAATCAAACTATAAGTCACATCCTTTTACGCTTAGTTCTTCTAATTTGAATCCTTTCTTTACCTCCAACACTTTAACTTTGAAATTCCAATCTTAATAAATCATTATATTAATATAGAGTTTTCCTTCGGAATAGTTTTAGAGATATAATTAACAATGAGGACTTGCCCATGACACAACAGCATAATAAAATAAAGATTATCTTACATTCGTAAGATAAGGAAAAAATAACCTCGGTTCCGTAGACTTCCAAAGGTCATCATTGTCCGGATGATCAGACTCATGTTTAAGGTTGTATTTCATCCCTTCGAGAGAATATATTATTCTTCAAATATTGTGTATGATCATCTAGATAAGTCTTCCGAGAATTCTATAACATGTAACTCCCTCACCAAAACTTTTTTTTCTGGCAACTGCGCTGGGGATAAGTTCTCATCTCCATATTCTATGATTATTTATGTTATCATCTATTAATAGTGTGTATCCTTTATAGATTTAAGCTACTCATCTTCCCATTGGACTTTCTATCTTATAAAGGGTCTACCATGCTTACCAAATTTTCGAGTCCCACCCCTCATCCTTAATCTTCATGTTTTTGGAGGACTTTCATTTAAATCCTTTTTAAAGAATAAAATTTCAAGGACATGTCCTACCATCAATTTTACTTGGTGAAAACCTTTCCAAGTTATATTTCATCTAAATTTCATTAAAAATTTTAAAAATTCTACAGTCAACTCTGTTGAAATCTTTCATGTACCTCTTTATAGGAAATGTCTCCTAAACAAATACTCCCTAGTAAATGGAAGCAATCTAGTCTTTGATCCCAGCCATCTTTAACAGCAAATCCCCGAACAAATTCGAGAAGGGCATCAACACTTATAAATACAAAAATAAAAAATTCTGATATTAAACATGTAATTATATAAGAATTGTGTGGTATGCAATTAAATTTTCCATTAAATAAGCCGGTGGACAGTGTAGCATATACATCACAAGGGAGAGAGAAGAAAAACTACAAAAAAAAAATGAGTAAGATTTTACTGCCTGAAACATAACAAGAAGGTACTTATTACACTTTCTTTTTCTTCCCAATACTAGAATCTGCAAAGAAGTGTTCCTGCATATGAAACCTCACCTACATATGTTATAAATATGACTGCATATTCAATACACCCGCTGAACAACAATTTCATCTTCCCCAAGGCTAACTCTTTTTTCTTTTTTTTTTTTTTTTTTTTTTTGCAACAGGGATTATCCATTTTTTAATACAATGAACAAATTATATGTACAAAAGGCGCTCAAAACGGGTTGATGGTGGAGCTCGACATCATGAAGATCATCTGGTACAGAACAAACTGCATCGAGCTGTTAGAGATGAACTGCAATCTGATTGAATGTGATGAGTATCATTTTTGCGATACCAAAGTGGGAAAAAAATGTTGCTTCATTTCAACTGATTTAGTATTTGAAATGGCTGGATGGGCTCCACTCCATGATGCCACACTTTGGGAGATGGAGACATTGCCACTTGACAAACTTTGTGATGTGGTAATGTTATCCATGCTCAAAAACCTTTGCCTGGATGAAGAAGTCTAATTTGATGGTGGAGAAAATATTGAATCTTGGACAACAGAAGTGGAAGGTTCTTCAGTAATGGCGGTTTCATGGATGCTTGATCTTATAGAAGCATCACTTGTCTGATCTTCATGATTTGCAGGAGCAGAAGGAATGAAGAAATTGGCACCAGACAAAGGCTTCACAGATGGAGCAGAGGGCGAATGGAATGTACTCGTAACAGATCCGTCGCGTTTGTTGAAAGTATCTACGTACCTGCGAAACAAGAGGAAAAGGTGATGCTCTACTATCAAGAGATCTAAAATATGGAAAGACTGGGGAAAATGACAATACTATTTTAAAAAGAAAAATACCTTGATCGGACCCCGCCTCTGCTGCGAGCTGAGAACTGATTTTGGCTTGGTGGCACTGGTGGCAAGCCAAACACTTGTTCTGATGGAGTATCAAGTTGTGTTTCTTGCTTAGCATCCATAATAAGGCCATTACTCTTCAAGACATTCTTCACATCATAATCTGATTTACCATTCTGGAAAGAAGCAGCCATAGGAGGTGGTGGCAGGAAAGCTTCTGAAGCTGGAAGCTCAGCACCTTCCTCCACCCATCTCTTCAGTTTTTCATCATAATAGAATTTGTTGCTCTCGCCGAGTTTTGCCTTGAATGACAATGTCAAAAAAATAAGTATCAAAATTAATAAGAAGAATATAGAGAAGATAGAACTAAAAACAATTGTGGGAGGAAACCTGGCGATCGGGTCTAGTCCGTGAAACCCAACCAATGGTCTTCTGAAGAATCTGAAAGCCAATGCGTCCAAAGCGTGACGGTCCGCCAGATATTGATGCATTGCTTTGTCCATATGAGCCGCTGCTCTTTGATAAGTTCTGCACAGAAAAACAATATAAGAGTACTAAAAAGAAAGAGGGACTTCATGGACATTAGCATTTATCTAAAAAAAAAAAACAAGGGAGAAACAAGGCCAAATTGAATAAGGTGCAAAGATTCAATAACTACTCGATTGGTTCAGAATTATTATAATCAAATATGCTTGCAAAAAAAGTTAGTGGAATTTACATACATAGCACACGATTCTTACGCATTTACATATATCACGCCTAAACTTACATATTTACACACATAGCACACAAATTTTAAATACCACATAAAATCTTTCATATTTTCATATTACAACTTTTTAAAAATGAAATACACATTTTCATGCATAGCCGCATTTACATATATCACGCCTAAACTTACATAAGAATGTGCTACATATGTAAATATGAAAGTTTAGGTTTGAGAAGCGCAAAAATACATAAGAACTCAGCAGGCATGTAAATATGAAAGTTTAGGTTTGAGATATGTAACTACATAAGAATGTGCTACATATGTAAACTTCCCAAGTTTTCTTAGTCAAATGAACCAAGATGGTACATTTTTTGTGCTTCGAAAATCTGGCTCAGAAATGCTTCTGTTGTGCACGACCTTCCCACCGCCATCACCTGTCCACTCACTTATAGCCTCTATTGATGGTGAAGACATCAAAGATGTAATGGCCGTTGCTGACTGGCTACTTGATACTTTTTGGCCTAGAGAGTTATTATCTCTGTCTTCTCCACTTTTCTGTAGCATTGGTGGAAGGGGTGGTACACCAATCATGCGGTGTATGGAACGATCAATGGAGTTGAACAGTTTGCCCACAAGTTTGGTTGGGGCCAAGTTTGTGCTGTATCCACTCTGAAAACGAGATTAGAAAGAAATGAAAACACATGAGAGATACAGAGAGAGAGGTCGAGAAGGTAGCGGCGGCGTGCGGGCTAAGAAAACCTGTTGGTGGTTTCTCAATCTTTCCTCCAAAGATGAGAACAACGTCCTCCACAACTCTACCTCCGCAGAGCGGCCAGAATATTTCAACATCTTCATGGATGCTTGGCAATACCTTAAGCAAAGAATATAACAATGTAAGGATTAATTAATAAGAAAAAAATACTAATCATACCACTCACCTTAGTGAATCATATACTTTTCCCACTTCAGCCAGCATGTAAGCATAAACAAGTTTGTATGGTTGAAAAGGTAACAAGACAAACTGCGAGTTTCCAAGGACCTTTGAATATTCATATATTTCAGTCCTCTGTAGAATGCCACGCCGCATTGAATCAGATTAGGGAATTAACAAAATAAACCATAGATCAAGAAAGATTTATGTTTCTTATGCATCCCAGACTGCAAAGAAGAAACATATAAGCAAAAATAAACAGTTAAAATGAGCTTTTAGTTAAGTTTTTTTTCTCAAATAAAAAGCAAAACCAATAGGAATAACCAAAGATATTCACAATGAATTAAAAATGCAGAATAGCAGATTATTATGTGCCAAACAAATGAAGAACCGCCCATTAAAATGTAACACGTACAAAAAACTTTGAAAAATAGTAAAAAGGCTTCTGCAAAGCAGAGTATTTTATGATAACAGTAACACAAACCATGAATAAAAAAAAAGAAACAAAACAAAGCAGTAGAAACAGCTACTTAGAAAACAAATATGTCATTGTAAATATCAATTGAGGATTTCTGGGTGCATCAGTGCCACAGACCTCAAATCTAATTAAATGTTATCTAAAAGATGATCTTTGAAGAAAGTATATAATAAGTGAAACAGCACACGATAAGAAATAAGGTAATATCCGAGAACGACAGCGATTATTCCTAAGGTAACCAGACAACATGAGAGAAGCAGCAATACAAAAGAATCAGAAAAGAAATACATCAAGAAAGAGAAAATATCATTCGAATGTCTCTACATCCAGGAAAACTATTTTAATCTAGAAAAATACATGCAGTTGTAACATAAGGTTTGCATGATTAATTTGAGGAACATAAGCAAATTGATCAAAAACAGACAAAAATACTATTTAAAACTTGATATTGCAAAATCCAAAATCCCATTCAAAAATCTAAAAATCAAATCTTCTCATCCGCATTTCAAGCTAAAAAGTAAAATTCAACTCCCAGCTTGATATCGTAGGAAAGTTAAAACCACAACAAAAATAATAATAATATTGCTGAATTCCATGATTACAAATAAAGACTCTCCTAACAAAAACAAACGACACCAAAATAGCAACACAATCATAAAGACACAACATACAAAATCCAATTAGGGCTACGATGGTGGAGATGTTGACGGCGGCAGGACAGCCTGCTGGGTGGTGTTGGAGATGGCCAGCGGCCTGCCAAAAGAGATCTGGAGGAAGGGCAGCTTGCTGGGATGTGTTGGAGACGGCCAGCGATCTGCAGGAAGGGAACTGGAGGAAGGCAGCCTGCTGGGATAGTGCAGGGGACGGTGGACAGCGACCGGCAGGGGTAGGGACAAGCACCCTGCAGCATGGACAGCAACCCGGAAGATGTCACCGGTAGTCTTGACAGCACACAGCATAAAGGACAGCAACCTGGAAAGAGCAGGATAGGATGGCAGCAAAAGGATAGCTATTGGAGGCGGAAAACAACAACAGGGAAGATGATTGGGGTGGTTGGTGGGAGGCAGGGACACCAGGTACGTGGCTGTAAGGCCGGAGCTGCAGCGGAGAAGATAGTTTGTGACTGCTAGAAGCGGGGTCGGAGAGCTGCGGAAGGATACATATCTCATTGGGGTTGAGCTACAGCTGGAGCGCCACCCAAACCCTTGGAGACACTCACCACCTCGGATGAATTACAGCCCCAAAGGTAGCACTCATCCAAATATGAACCCTAAAGCACTCAACAACACATCTATAGTGGGAATTTGTAAATATGATAGGTAATGCTTAGAAAAGGAAAGAAATAGAAAATGCCGGCATATAATGGGTAGGAAATAAAATAGAAGAATCATGGAAAAGGAAGGGGAGCGAAAAAGGAGAGGGGCTGGCCCGCCGTACTGTAGCAACTACAGTGTCAGTGTGTCACGACCCGGGGAAGCTCCCGTATCAATCTACCAAGGTTGGTGGAGCTACAACTGTATTCGTCGAAGCTTTTAAGGCAGAAAAAATTTTGGAGGGGGTAGGAATGAATGCGAGGGACACTAGGATAAGACTAGGGTTGGGCTAGCTCTGATACCAAATAAAAACGGAACAAACAGGGAAATCAACGAAAACGAAGCAAACTTTTATTGATACTAAATTAGGCTTACAACACGACGCAAACAGAAAAGGGAAATACAATTATATACTATCTCCAACTAAGAGCCAAAAAGAAGATCCGTGACATTGGTGGCATCAGCGAAGTGTTAAGGGAGCGGGTCAAGGCCGAAGGTTATGAAGGGGGGTTGAAGGGGTGAATTGGGAGGCCAATAGGTAGGTTGGGCGAAAGTGGAGTGGTTAGACAGCAGGATTTGCTACAGGAAAAGTTGCAGTTGGTGTAGGGATGAAGTCGGGGAAACATGAAACAAAAGTTATGTTGTTGGGAGAGAGCGGCTAGGTGTTGGGATGAAGTGTGGGGAGCTGGACAGCAGGTTATGCTGCAAGGAAGGGCCAGCTGGGTGCTGAGAGGAGGTCTGGGAAGCTGGACAACAATGTTATACTATTGGGGAAGGGCAGTTGCGTGTTGGGATGAAGTATGGGGAGGTCGGCAATAGAGGAGAGAGGGAGAAGGGTTATGTAAAGATAAAAAAGAAGATATAACACCACCTCATATCAGAATATAGCCAGAGCACAACCCTAACAAGTGGAAAAATGACTCCACATAAAAAATCTGAAAGCAAACACAGCAAAAACTAAATCCTAACTTCAAAAAAACAGTAGATAAACGATTCCCCATTGGAACAAACGAAAAGGATGGAAATAAAAGGGCGAGTGGCACTCCCACCAGTAAGGATCACGCCCAACCCAACATTTGTCAGGACCGATCTCCTCAAGCAAGTTTGGTCTAGGCTGGTCTCCTTAAACATCGCCTGGACCGGTCCCCTAGCCCCGTGTCAATCCCCCGGGGTTGGGGGAGCTTTTGAATTTATTCGTCAAAGCTTTTGGCTGCACATTGCGGTGATGGAGCAATTGTAATCATCCGGGTCGAACAGATCTTCAACTGTCATTCCAATAGGACTTGGATTCCACTATCAGTCGCACTACCTCCCAAAACACCAGAGTTTGCTCCACTTGCAAGTGTACATTCATATTAGTCCACTCTCCTAAGACTGCTTGACCTGTATGTTTTTATGTTCAGTTGAATCTGCCCAAAGTAACCCTTGGTCGGTTCAATTTGATGTGCGGTGAGAATAACACAAACTTTCCTGCATGGCTTCAAGTGCCTTGGTAAGTCAATCAAATAGGCGTGTCGTTCCAAAGCACATTCTGATAGAACAAGTACTTATCCACTTTTGGCACACCCTGAAACGAGGAATCTCACGAATTAGATATCGAGTCATCACCTTCGTAGCCTACTTCTTCCACTCCTCGTATTCGGCTAAGTGCAACTAATGAACTAGTATGTGAAAAGTCAACTCTGGGGTGATATCTGTGGTAGGTTGCACCACTCTCACTAGCCTCCACTCAAAAAAGACCTCTTCTTCACTAAAAGAACCTGGATCTCATTGAAAAATCTTTGTCCCCATCAAGCTCCTCGGGCCAATTACAAAGTTGGGGTTCATCTCTACTGTTTGGATATATGATGATGTTAACCTCTGAATAACTCCATGTAATATTCCCAACATGACACAAAATGATTCCACTTCTGTCAGACTGGACCTTCCTCCATAGGGATAACTTAGGAAAAGGTCTATACATATGAAAAATCTATATTTCTTTTATTTGTGGTGGCCCTATATCTGACGCTGGCTCCTCAAACACATGACCAATTTGAACATCCAAGGTCAGCCCTATTAATGTTCCTCTCAATGCTCGTAAAACGGTAGCTTGAGACACCACAATTTTATACTCTACATGAACGCCCATCATATCAAGGTTACTAACTTCTAAAACAATTAGTGTTACCCTAGCTGGAATCTCTCTCCTGGGGTCAACTGAAATCTATAGTGTTTCTTCCTCTTTGGTTGCAAGCTGAGAATCCTTTCTGAAGTCTTTATCTTCTCCTGAATCAATTGTCATTGCCCACTTTTACAACGACGCCCTACTCAGTGAAACAAATCTCTCCTCTGGTCTTGAATTTGATTCCAAATTTAGGGATGCGGATTAATCCTACGAGTTCTCCACTTTTAATCAACTTTTCCTCTGTCGAGGTCGTCATGGGTGTGCTCCTAGGTGTAATCAAACAGCAAGATCCTAAGGTTAAAATATGTCTGTAAGATGTGGAAGTTGCTAAGTTTTGTGGTCTCTCAACTTCTAAAGCTAGAGTCAACGCCCTCTGTTTGTAATAAGCTGATAGGAAGTGGCGTTGTGTCTCACGCTTCATCTTCAGATTATCTCTTTCTCTCCTTCGACTCTCCCAATACCGACTGAGGGTGACCACCCATCTGATTTCATCGTGAAGGGGGGTTGAAGGGGTAATTTGGGAGGCCAGTAGGTAGGTTGGGCGAAATTGGAGTGGTTGGACAGCAGGATTTGCTACTGAAAAAGTTGCAGTTGGTGTAGGGGGAAGTCGGGGAAACATGAAACAAAAGTTATGTTGTTGGGAGAGAGCGGCTAGGTGTTGGGATGAAGTGTGGGGAGCTGGACAGCAGGTTATGCTGCAAGGAAGGGCCAGCTGGGTGCTGAGAGGAGGTCTGGGAAGCTGGACAACAATGTTATACTATTGGGGAAGGGCAGTTGGGTGTTGGGATGAAGTATGGGGAGGTTGGCAATAGAGGAGAGTGGGAGAAGGGTTATGTAAAGATAAAAAAGAAGATATAACACCACCTCATATCAGAATATAGCCAGAGCACAACCCTAACAAGTGGAAAAATGACTCCACATAAAAAATCTGAAAGCAAACACAGCAAAAACTAAATCCTAACTTCAAAAAAACAGTAGATAAACGATTCCCCATTGGAACAAACGAAAAGGATGGAAATAAAAGGGCGAGTGGCACTCCCACCAGTAAGGATCACGCCCAACCCAACATTTGTCAGGACCGATCTCCTCAAGCAAGTTTGGTCTGGGCTGGTCTCCTTAAACATCGCCTGGACCGATCCCCTAGCCCCGTGTCAATCCCCCGGGGTTGGGGGAGCTT